GACAAAGCATTACTTTACTTTTGTTTAACACAAGTTTGTATATTATTTTCTGGTAAATTTTTCAGAATACAATACAGTTATGTTTGGATTGAACAAACACTGGATAAAAGGTCAAACATAAAAGATTGACTAATTGAGCAAATGTATTTTTGTATTTAACTGTTGCTAATTAGAGAATAAAGGGCATGGTCGTATTCGTGACAATATTTGCTTTTAATGAGCTGCTTGGATAAAGGTCTGCAACATAGGGGAACTGTGTGTTTAAAATGAAAAAAAAGATGAAAAACAAAGTCTTCATGTTGCTAATTGTCACATCTGCTACCCAGAGGCAGCCCCCTCGCTTTGGGTCAAGGGATGCTTCTTAATCTCTTCTCTAAGCACTGAACAGACACTATTTTGCAACAGGCTTGTTGCAAATCCAGCGAGGACATAAAGGCTTATTTGTTTCTAATAATAACCAGTGTTTTATATTTCCCAAGCTGTAATCAACACGAGAAATCTGAGCCACCAATAATCACTCAGGCTCCAATTAAACAGAAATTAAACTTGTGTCAACAGGAACGACTGTGGAAACATGAGCCAGAGCCATGAGATTGGCCTTTGTGCAAATATGGGGAGAGTTACCAGTAAAAACTTTTTAAATGCATTTCTTTTAATAAGTAACCTTCGGATTGGTCTGTGCCGGCTCAACCCAATAATGTGAGGCGTCGCTGAAGTATTGTTAATAATAAACTTGGTAGTAAATGTTTATGGTAAGGTTAATATTTGAATTAGGACGTGTATTGCTTGAAGTCATAATAAGTTCTTCGTCTCATATTTCATAAAGTTCATAAAGACAGTGAGGGACTCGTAATAATGCTAACTGGTCTCTACTGGATTTTTGTAATGAAAGGTTATGTAAGTAAGTAATGTTTATTTTTATAGACACTTTTTACAAACCAAGGTCATCCAAAGCGCTTTACAATGTTCAGAGTTCAGATATATTCAGATACTAGGGCATAAAAGCCTCTGACCAAACACCATCCATTCACTCACTAATTACATTCAGACTTATTTTACATGATTTTAGTGGTAGGGGAAACCGGAGCACCTGGAGGAAACCTTTGCAGACATGGGGAGAACATACAAACTCCACTCAGAAAGGCCCTGTTCCGACCGGGATTTGAACCCTTAGTGCTATCCACTTAGCCACCGTGTCGCCTGAACATAATTAAACATATTCATTGTGTGTGTGACATTTTCAATTTTTCTTTTTATTTTCTCCTCCATTGGTCATTGTTTAAATTACTTAAATTCAGGTCTAAGTTAATAATTATGATAATTCATTGGTTTTATATAGGTATTATTCTTTCATGCCTTACACAGTGGTGGGTGAGTGACAGTCTCCCCACTGTGGCACCTGGTGTTCCCAGAGGTCTCTCATCACTCTACTATCCAGGGCCTGCCCTGCTTAGCTACAGAAAAGTAAGCCCGAAATTTTTCAAATGCACCAGGCAATGGCTCTGAAGAGAGGAGAGCTTCTGGCTGACTTTTTCCCTACAGTGCAACACATTATACAGAATTAATCAAATAGACAGCCCTTATATAAGACACATGTTATACGTATTATATCATAATATTATATATTCTTCATAAGTAATTATTTATTTTATTGACCTCTCTTTTTATCCAATATATATAATATATATCAGAATCTCAGAGAGTTTTGTACCAAGAGGGGCACCGGAGGAAATCTATGTAGACATGGGTAGAACGAGCAAACTTCACTCAAAGCAACATTTATTCTTATTCCATGTTTATATGTAACTCACAACAGAAGTGTGCAAAATCCTGATCACACGAGACATGAAAAAGCCCAAGAGAGTCTAAAGAAATGAGTATTACAGTTAGCATCAGCATCAAGAGAGAATCTGAGAGCACTGCCCACTCCGCCTTCACCGTGTCGCCCGTTCTCATTTAAAGAAGTTTATTTTTAATGTAGCGTCTCACACAGAGGGTCCCCAACATCTGCGTCTCTCTGATCTGATTCTGATCTGGCATTTCAAAGTCATCTGTCCATACACTTAAATCAAGTTAGAAAATTCGCATTTCTCTAACATGCACGGCCACAACACCACGCTTCACGCTTGAGTTTATAAATAACCAACTCCATCTTAGTTTAACATTTCATTTTCAGCTGATTATCTCCTAGCTAGAGTCTTCAAACCTCAGTAATAGGCTTTGTAAATATATATCTATCCAAACCGATGGGACAAAGCATGAAATAGAAGCATTAGCTATTATTATGCGGGGGATTGGCTGTCTGGCTTCTACATTGTGGCCTATATAAATGGAAATGCATCTACAGCTTGTTCAAAGTGTGTATTTGTAAACTGGACAACAGGGATGACTGCATTACTTTGTGTGAGCGTGCAGTTCTCAGAGGAAATCAATGCCCTGGATATCTGAAGCTGTCGATGTATTGGCAGAAGCGTTCACAGGTCTATAAATACGACAGGACACTCTTTATCAGGATTAAACCTTAAAAGCTCAATAAAAAGTGTGTCTTGTGTTACTGAGAGCTGTGGCATCGGTCGCAAGGTCGTGTCCGGTCCCCAAAGTGTCCCCCGGGCCCTCCGCTTTGCCAATGCAGGGACAATTGATTGTTTTGAGGACATATAATGACAGACCTGTGTTGAATTCAGTCTCCATCTACAGTATTATACAGTCTATGGTGTGTCCTTTCATAGCTTGAACTTAGAAGCATGGCTAACCACTTCAGACCTGTTTTTCATGTGGTGTTTTCATCTGGAGTGACTAAAAGTTTGGTCATTACAAAATGTAAGAAGTAGAAAAAGTAGATAGTTGGGTTTGAATAAGGAATAAAAGCAATGTTCATGGTAATGTTGTAATGTTTATATTTTTATATAGCACATTTTCCACATCAGGGTCACTTTACGCCTTACAGTGTTTAGAGTTCAGGTATTGTTCCAATCATTCCACACACGGTGATGACAGAGGCGAGCCGCCGAACACACTGACGCATCAGCCCCCAATCAACTCCATTCATTCACTCTCTCATTTACATTCAGACCTATTGTGCATGGTTTTTTTTTGGTTATTTTTTGTCTGTTATTAAAGAGACACTTGGGTCTGGGGACACAAAGTTCTGTTTTTTCTCTTTTTTCATATTTTGCTATGTAGACATAACCCAACAAGGTCAAATACATAAAATCTGGAACAGTCTTCCTGAAGATGTGAGACAGGCCTCCTCAATGTTTAAAACCAGGTTAAAGACAGTTCTGTTTAGCTGTGCATACAAGTGAGGGATTTTATATTTTTATCTTTCTTTTTAATGTTCTGTGATTATTTATGATTTTAATGCTTTCTTTTTTTGTTCAGCACTTTGAATTGCCTTGTGTATGAATTGTGCTATATAAATAAACTTGCCTTGCCTAAAATTATAAATGTTTGCCACATAAAAGTTGCATAATGCACCTGTAAGTACAGTACAGATACTTCTTCCACCTCTGATTAGAACCAGAAATAACGACACGTTTAATGCAACCATATTTTATTTGTTCTTGTAGTTGAACAAGAGGCTCAGATTGCAGCGCTCTTCACAGAAGAAGCTTCAGTCTTCACAAAAACGTGAAGAACACAAGACATAAAAACACCATCCCATAAACATACGACAGACACTGTAGAAAAGAAACACATCATTTACAAACAAACATTTACAAAGAAAAGAAACTAGAAAACACATAAACACACGGGTTTTCAGGACAGAGAACCACAGCTGCAGGAACAAGTGCCACAAGTTCAACATTTACACATTTAATCACCATTATTCTCACAAACATCATTCGTCCACATTCAGTAACATTTGGAAATCTATTAGCCCCTTACTACACCAACCTTTTCCCTCTAAAACGCCTCCTGAAGTCTGAGAACTTCTGAGAAAATCTGTCAGGACCACAGCTCTTTGTGAAGCTGAGGTCCTGTAGTTTTCATTTACTCGAATTATAAGTGGGAACAATCCCTGCACTTATATCCAACTCTTAATTTAATTTTATTTAGGGTATAGCTGATCTGTGAAGAAGGACATATGTACATTTATTATGTTATAGTTCTATTTGATCAAAATGACGTTAGTGAGGTAAGGGATAAATAGTAGCTCAATAGTTAACCATCTTCATCAAATACAAAGCAATAATCGGTTTATGAATTACAAATTCTTAATTGAATTCCACCTTGATTCAGCATAGGAGATAATGTAATAGCAAGAAAGATTGTTTTCTATATATTTCTGTATTTTAACAAATAATATATTAACTGGTTATGATCTAGTTTCATTATTATTATTATTATATTACATTACATTTTCCTTTATCTTTTTTGGAATGATTAAACAGAACATACGAAGCAGTAAAACTAAAACATATAAACCCTGTACACCCCAAACACTTTTTTTCATGACAAAACGTGGAGAAAAACACAGTGGCACAATGAAAAAGGAACAGATTTTTTTTCCCTCTCCCAATAAAAAACACAAAAATGAGTCTTATGTCACAAGCAGGACCAAACCAGTCCGACTCCAGTATGACCAGTCCACTCCCAGTAGAGGGCGACGCTGTGCTGCAGGATCCACTCATATTGTCAGAAGTGAAACGTTTCTATCAGACTTTTGGTCGATTCAAAGTCAAAGCACCAAATTTCTAGCATAAGACCTGAGTCTGGGGCTACTTCAAGACCAATACACAGAACATCTTTGACAGTGGCGGCAAACCAGAAGCGCTAGAAAGCAATTTGCCTGCAGGGAATCTTGATTACTCATGTTATAAAAAAGTTCTTATTCCCTGAGTCATCCAAGTCCTTAGAGTATCTCATGTAAACAGCACGCGTTAGAACAAGTGCGTTATTGCGTTATAATTGAGCTCTTTCTGGCTCTTTCTGCTGCTGCTGCTGTTGCTGCTGCTGCTGCTGCTGCTGCTGCTGCTGGTGGTGGGTCTGGTCCTGGGTCATGTGGTCAGCAGGAGGACAGGAAGCAGGAGCAGGAGCAGAGATGTGCTGAGTGAGGGAGCTCCGTTGTGACGAACTGGGTCTGAACACAACACAACACAACACTATGAGGTCGGACAAAACCATGGAACACTATGGATGTAGTAGTAGTAGTAGTAAGTAATCTTTATTTATATACCGCCTTTTCACTGCAGATCTGAGTCTCAAAGCGGTTTACAATTGTTAATTTTGGGCATTTGTCTCTCACTCCACACAGAGATGGGAGCGAGGTTGCCAGTACAGGAAGCGCATGCCAGAACTATTGGACATATTTTTAGTGGTAGGGGAAACCGGAGTACCCGGAGGAAACCTACGCAGACACAGGGAGAACATGCAAACTCCACTCAGAAAGACCCTGGTCCGACCGGGATTCAAACCAGTGTTCAGTTCTTGCAAATCTCAAATGTTTAGAAAATAAGAAGGTATGGTGTATACATTTCCCACCTCGAGTTTCCAGTTGAATCTAGATGTTTGCAATAATTCAAAAGTCTTGTTTAATGTTAAAGTCTTTTGTAAAATGAATCTGAATCATGTTCTTAAGTAGGTTTGCATTTAAACTAGGAAAAGTGAGGTCATTTTGAGATCTTTCTAAATCACTGTTTCTTAAAACATTTCACATCAAGTATCAAGTATCAGGTCCAATTAACTTCACCTCATGCTTCCATTGTCAATCATATACAGCAAAGGGACAAAACTGTGGTCTGGGGGCCACATGCGGCCCCTTTTAGGTTTCTCTTTGGCCCCCGGATTCTTCCAGTCGTTGACCTCATCACCCTGACGGCCAATGGTCTGTTGTTTATTTTACATAATGGCTCCATGTTTTCTCTGATTCTCTTGTTAGATATAGTTGTTCATCAAATAAATAATTCCATAATCAAAGTCTAAAATGAAAAACATGTTCTGTCAAGTTAACTAAAATGGTGCCTGTACAAAAACCTATGCAGCCCTCCACGAAATGAAAATGTCCCACCCCTGATATAAACAGAAGGACATTTATCTATCTTTCTATACATTTAATCCTTTAATACAGTACTGCAACTCAATCTTAAAATATTTTGTTTCCAGAGTACAACCATCTATATATCCAAGGTTCCAGTTTCTTCAAGTCAAAATCAAGTTGTTTTCAGACCAATTAAAGCAAACCTAATAACTATTTCACTATTTCTCTCTTGTCTGTGTCTGTGTTGTCAAGCTGCGGAAAAGTAACTTAAAAAAAGCTATCAAATTTGGTTCTTTCTCTTTAAATATGAGAACTTTGGTTTTTCCTCCCTCTCCCCTTTGTCTTATTTTATTAGTATTAAAGTACATATACTTTTTATGGCACACGAGTACACCTATACTCATGCAAACATCGCACAAAATACATTTCATTCATTTTGTTTTGTTTGTCTGTCTCTGTTCCTTGTAATTGTGAATGTAATCGGTCTAGTCATTTTCATGTTTGTATCAAAAAAAATAAAATAAATAAAAGTGACATTTGACCCAGACCTACGTTTCTCAATCAAAATAATAGTGCTTGACCTATAAAAACTTTGAGGAGACAGCAATATGGAGAAGTTATATACTGAATACATTCTAAGACAGAGTATTTTTCAGGTAATTTGGGGTTAGGGTTTGGCAGCAGATCCAAAGCAGATACCATCACTGACTGCTCTCAAATTGAAGGAGCAGCGCTTCTATTCAGAGCTCCTCCCATGTGACTAAGCTCTGTACAATATCTCTAAGGAAACATGAGCCTTACTATTTTATTTTATTTTTTTAATTTAATCTTTATTTAACCAGAAAAGTCCCATTGAGATCAAGAACCTCTTTTTCACGGGCGTCCTGAACAAGAGGCAGCAAAAGTTACACACAATTACCTAAAACTACAGATAAAAAAAAAAACAGTTACATATCAATAACGAAGTCTAAAGTGATCTCAATCTTAATCTAAAATAATTCAAAGAAATAATCCCATATTTACTGTACTTCTAGTTCTAGTACTTTTCCAGCAGGACAAAATAATGCCACAATCTCGTATGTGCGTCCTCTTACCTTGTTTCTGCTTGGAGCCCTCCACAGCTGCAACAGAGCAGAAGAGAGAGCACTTTCAGACAAAGTTATTGCACAGAGCGAAGTTGCTGATTTTTCATTTTGCGCATTCTCAATAAAACGAGGTTGAAAAAAGCGACAGTACAAAAGAAGCCACGTATTTACCATTACTCAACTCCGAACAACTCTTGAAAAATTAGCCCTGACCGACCCCAAATATGTGCGCATATGCAAATTCTCTTAAAGGTTAAAAGATAAAAAAAGAATATGGGAAGCAGCAACAGGAAGGCTTTACTTTTATTTTATGCATAAGAGAAATGATCGAGATTGCAGCCAGCAGGAAGGAGGGAATGGAATTACACGGGCGCGGAGAAGTTGTAGCAAAATTGAAAACGACAGCGAAACTGAGAAGTAGGCACCGGATGAAAAGAAAGTTTAAAGAAAAAGAAGGTATGAAGGATTAGAACCGGATCAGACAGACAGAGAGTGAGGGGAGGGAGGGGGGGGGGGGCAGTTGTGTCTGGGTGTCATTTTGTCAGTGGGAGGGGTTGAGGGGGTGCTCTCAAAGGAAATAATGGAGCCGAGATGGAGCAGGATACAGGTGGCGATTAAACTTGTGCAAAAAGGGCTGATTTTGTTCCTTTTTTTTTTTGCCAGGTCATTGAGGGCAGGGAACAAGGACACGCAGATGTGGAGGAAATAAGGGAGGATATAACAAATATGATTGCAATTTATTGGATTTAAGACAGTTTTTGAGTGTTTTTGAAGAAAAGACTGAATTCATAAGTGGCTAAACAAGACTTTATGAAACTCATTTTCAAAATATGTAAACTCTTAAGAATGTCACATCTATTGGTTTTGCCATTTAAAAAGATAAAAAATCTGACAGTGATAAACTATGCGTAAAGATAAATTGAAGTTGGATTACAACGATTAACCCAGGTTCAATTATTCACAACATTTACCAACTTTACAGGAACATCTACCGTTGGGAGATTGCAGAAAAACAGTGAAATATTTTGCCTTAAAGCTGGATTACGTAACTCTTTTGTCACATCTTTCAACTTTATTGGTGAAAAAGACAGAACAGCTCTCAGTATAAGATCCAATGTTTCCTAATAAGTTAAAGACAGCATTCTGTGGTCTGATTTCTTTACTTTAACAAGACTCCTTCTGGTACAAACAACAAGTATTTATGGAAGAAAAAAACAAGTTAGGTACCCCAGCTTTAAACAACACATATCCATGATCGTTCTGGCCTTTGATCTGGAATATATTTAGAGTTTGGAACGTGAAACAATTTCTAAGTAGCCTACAAAATATAGGGTACACCAATAAAAATGGAGTAAGAGATGACCAGAATGCACCAACATCCCATATAGTTGCAGAAGTGTGAAATTACCTTCAAGAAAATAACCTTGTAGAAGAAATATAATGCATTTTATTTGCCCCGAAACATGATATTTACACTATTAACTCACTATTAACGTGTGAAATTATTTCTAAAGTACAATATGGAGCCTATATACGTATAAACAGGGCTTCAGTGATGAAACAATTAATTCTGTTATTTTATGTCAACATAAAACACTGCATGCAGCAATTACAGCCAGTTGGTTGTAATTAACATTATTTCACCATAAAAATCTCCTGAACAGATTTGGAAGGGATATGTTTGTTTTAAAAGGCAAAAATCTGCTCTGAACTCGACATAATAAACTCCTAAATGAGTTTGGATGTGAACAACCAGCGACCACCGAGGGGTTAACGAAGCATTAAATCACACGCTGTGTCCAGACGGTGCTGAGGCGAGGGGCCCCGCCACAGACAAGATCACTGACTATCGGCTACGCTTGGTAAAAGGCACGGCGTGTGTGCCTACTACTTACTCTTTTCAAATAGTCATACTGAGTATTTGGCTTTAAAAATCATATATTACCCTAAGACATATCCAGTTGGTTCAAAATAGCATTGATCAGCTCAAAGCATACATGAAAGTGATTCCTGTTCATTAAAAGCATTCAACGACATTCATGGACATTGGTCATCTGCCCTTTATGGACCAATGGCTCTATGTGTGTTTTGTTATTGTATTTCTTGTGTTTGAACAGTTTGATTCTCTGATCTGTGTTGGCAAATTCAACGGTTTTGTAAATTCCTCCGAGATAACTACTTTTGTAATTTAGAAACACAAATACATTGAATTGAATAAGCATTTGTAATACATCTCACATTGATTTATTTCTTGTTTATGACATTTCCATGTAATATGAATACAGTGAATGGAAAATGTGTGCATACTCCCCATACAAGTTGATGGAGTCTTTTAAACACAGACGTAAAACCTGTATGTCAGATTCAGATTCATTTAATTTAATTTGCCATTTGCAGTAAAACCGCATTGGAATACAAAGTCTCAAGAGTGTACAAGACAAGTACACAAATAAAGCAAGTTAAAAGTACAGAAATAAAACAAACAAAACAGGAAACAATTGAATCGTGAAATCAAGCAATTAAACAGTTTCAATACCAATATACCTGCTATAGGAAATATAGACTGGAGAATGCCATGACTGGATGACTTTTTACCACGGTTTAATCAGGATGATGCATAGACAATGACTGGTAATTGTGGGAAAATGTATAACATCCATTTGTTCATACTAACGCGAGAATGCATAATTATGTTTTCACTGCCTTATTGTTTCATGACCGCACAATAACAAATACTTGAGATAGTTGTCATGAAGCGCCTCTTGGCTCCGGCTCCAAATGCCTGCAGTTTACTCGCCTGTCCCATGTCTGTTTGGATCGAGCCCTAATCACATTCTCTTCATCAAACGCTCCACACAAAACCCCACTTGTCCGTGTGTGTGTGTGCGCATGGAAACACATACGCTCGACCCAAAATGGCGTCCGCGGTGGTCTGCTGGCTGCAGTGGGGTGATGCCATAGTTACACCGATATGCATGCGCCCTATAACACACCATTCTACCTCTCTCCCTCCCAGCAGCCGCCATTTTTCAGCCCCCTCTCCTCGTGCCAAGGAAGCCAAAACCCCCCCATAAAAAGAAACAGGAAAGAAATGAAGAAGAGAAAACAAAAAGCGCAAAAGACAAACAAAGTGTAAAGTTTTGCGAGTCGGAGATGTAAGCAGAAGTGACGGGGCAGTAGGCGTGTGTACGGAGTTCAGAGGGTACAAAGGGACTCTGTAGACAAGGGCATCCCAGTAAGTAAGTAATTTGGAAGAAAAAAAAAGTCTAAAGCGGCTTTGCAACGTGAAATCAACGCAATAGACTGGCTCGACGGGGGGGAGAAGCGCGGAGACGGGGATGGGTTAGAGAAGTTTCAACAAACAGTGGGTGTAAAAACAACAGGGGCGGTTTTTAGGTGTGCGCAGGAGATAAATAGATAAATAAATAAAAGAAACGTGCGTGTGCGAGGACGGTTTCGGCTGGAAGATGCAACGGGGTGGAGAGGGCTGAAGGAGCTGATTTCACACGACACCATCACGCCTGCTCTGTCTGTACGCTGTGATGTAACCTGTGTTCAAGAGAATCTCTCCTCCATGGACTAGAGACCTTCAGCGCAGCACGGATGGACACGATGAATTATACACTAGTGCGGATCCAACAGTAAAAAAACAAAAAAAATCCTATTAATTTCTTCCATACGGATACTGGAGCTATCTACTGTATATAGCCTGGTGTGGTGGATGGTTTTCACTAGACCTACAACTATATTTAAAATGTGTTTCTGAATCTCTAGAAGCCATTATTAAGACATTTACCAACTTTATTGTAGGTTTAAGGCTGACAAAAAGCTGAATATTTGTATAGCACATTTAAAAACTACCACAGTTGAACATAGTGGGTTAGGGTTATACAATAATAACATAATAAGCAACAAAATAATGTTGATTTGTCTTTAGCTAAGTGGAAACCTGCTGCACCGCTAACGAATGAGTCTTTTACGGTTCTCTGACGGTTAAGGCCGATCCAAAGCTCTGCCTCCTCTTGTAACAGGGACAGTGAGCAGAAGCTGACCTCAAAGCTCTCCTGGGCATGTGGGTCACGAGGAGCGAGAGCAAGTAAGATGGCGCTATGATGCAGACTTTTAAAATCAAATAAATACAAAGCGTTGCATTTTCGTTTTCATTCGTTGTGCTGTGTTTTGAGCAGTGGAAGCATTATATAACACATTATTTCAACTTATTCAAGGTCACTAGTCAAGACCTGATCCACGAGTACTCCGTTACATTCCTTATTATGTGATGTAGCTATTGCAACGGTTTGGACTGAACTATCTCCTGCACTTAACCCTCCTCACGACACACCTGCGCCTCTGCTACTGTAGCTGCCGCATTCACACATCTGTGCTGAAAACCATCCTGCACCTGGCTGCATTTACAGTGGCTAGGGTCTTTCACACAGCCTCAGATCGTGCAACAACCCGCCTCCTCCCCATCACTCCCTCTCTTCATCGCTTCCATTTGAATTACTCACTGCAATTCCCTCCTGCATAGTTATCAACACATATATTTCTGCACTGTGAATTGTATTGGCCCATTCAACTCAAAAATGTCATTCCAAACCTCAGCATTTTGATTGTCAATTAGTTTAGAACATGTATATGAAATTTACATTGTATCAGAAAATGTTAAAATATTTGCCAATTTGACTCAATGATTAGTATCAAAACAATTCAAAGCCCAACAACAATTTACAATCTGCCAAAGTCAAAGCTCTATGTACCACACGTCAAACAACATTAATCCAAAGTTTCTAAACTATTTTCTCATCTGTCTGAATCCAGATTAAACGACTTGTCTTCCTTCATTATAAAATGCAGTCGCACTAATTGACATAAAAACAGTAGTTCAGTGCATCCTGGTCCCTGTGCACGGCGCTCCAGTTAAATTAAGTCTTTAAAACCCACAGTCGCACAGACCTCACATCGACCTTGTGCCAATGACAGGATACCTGCCGGACCGCGCTGTCACCACTGTCCTTCACACCACTCTGAGGAGC